GGAAAATATTCACAGTTCTGAGCAAGATACATTCCACAGTCTGGAACCAAAGAAGGAGCAAGCTGCCTGTCATCTGCCTTTCCTTGTAGTTTTAGAAGAGGTAGCCATGTTAGTCTGTGGAAGTATACTAGGCAAAATCCAAAGAAACAAAACAAAACATTCCTGGAGGAATGTTTATATCCTAACACCAAATATAGGCCATAAATCACTCCATGTGAGATGTAATTAAATATCCAATACTATTAGAACCAGTGAATATTTCGTATGTTTTACTTGTGTAATTGGCATTTAATCCAGTATTTCATTTTTTCTGTATGTCTGACAACGAAAGCTCATATTAAAATATAATATTTATTATTTAAGGTGCCACGTTTGTCTTTTTTGTTTGTTTGTTTTTATTTTGTCATATGTTGGTCAAGCAATTGTTGCTCTTTTCAACTGGGTGTCTCCTAAAAATCTTTAATGTTCAGGCAGGTTCATAATAAGAGAGGTGATTGCTTAGATCACTGGTTCTTAACCTTGGGTTACTCAGGAGTTTTGGACTGCAACTCCCAGAAACCTTCACCACCAGCTGTGCTGACTGGGGTTTCTGGGAGTTGCAGTTCAAAAGCATCTGAGTAACAAAGGTTAAGAACCACTGGCTTAGATAGCCAAGCCTCAAGCCACTCAGGGTTTGAAGGTTAGAACCAACATCTTCATTGTTCTTAAGAACCTTAGATAGCCAAGCCTCAAGCCACTTAGGGTTTGAAGGTTAGAACCAACATCTTCAATTGGGGCCTGTAAACAGTTGCAAACCACTGCAGAACTTTCAGTATCTGAGTTGTATGGCTGTGATGCTGTCCATCATTTAGCAGCCTAGCTGTAGTTTATTCTGCCAGTTAAACATTTTGGACCCCTTCAAGATATGTCCAACGTGCTGTTCCACAAAGAGCACATCACAGTAGTCAACATGGGATGCAACAGTGGTGTGAGTGGCTGTTGCAAAACCAAAAATGTTGCAACATTACAAAATGTTGTAACTGGCTATCTAAGCAGAGTTGTCACTACAGATATCTGGGAATCCAGAAAGAATATAGAATCATAGTGTACTCCCCAATACAAGCCTGACCTTTCAGTGAACCTCTTTTACAACATGTTGAATCCTATGCCTCAAGTCTGCCTTTTTAATGATTCAAAGCACCGCCATCTTCTCAGAATTTTACTTCAGCTTGTTCATTCTCATCTAGCCCATTATTGAGCTCAGGCAACATTCCAGACTTCTGAATGTTCCATTGGTGTTAGTTGCAAGGAGCAGTAGACCTTGGCTTTGTCAGCATATTAGTGGCATCTCACTCCAAAGCTTTGAATGACACATCTCAGCTTTTCAAATATGTCAATAATATAAGGGGCAGTGTAAAATCAAAGACCATGGTACCAGACAGCGCTCCATCAGGATCCCCCTTTGAATGGCCTTGACAGGAAGTATTGGAATCACTATAATACAGTGCCCTGAGTACCCAACCTAGCCAGGCAGTCCAATAGGATACCATTGGTAAATGGTTCTGAAAATCACTGAGAAATCCAGAGCTTTGTTTTCATTTTTATGGCATTTCTTTCACTTAAGGGACCCAAGATAGCTCACAAAGTATTAAAAAACTGAAAACATGATAAATCAATACATTAAAACCAATTTAATATATAATACTATTAAAATATTAGTTAAAGTAGTTAAAGACCATCTTAAAAACAAATGAAAACACAGATAAAGTAATAAGAATACCTAGCACCCAAGATAAAAGCTCTTCACCACCCAATTAGTTGTTAAAAGTTAGTCTAGAAAGGATGTCCTCCCCCTGGAAGAGCACTGGAAAGATGAGCCAACCTAGCCCCCTAAGGAAGAACATTCCACAACCTGGGAAGCAGCCTTAGAGAAGGCACTCTCACATCCCCACATCAAAAGTCTCCAAGAGGGCAGTGGGACTGAAAGAAACCTCTCCTGAAGATCTTGGAAATCAAGAAGGCTCATAAGAGGATATGATGCTTCAATGAGCCTGAACTGAAGCTTTATAGGGCATTATAGGTCACAACCAGCCTTTAAGAACTGCTTGGAAACAGCCAGTGGAGCCATCATAACAGGGGAGTTATATGCTCCTTGTAATCAGCTCCAGTCAGCAGTATTGCTGCGACATTTTGAACCAGCTGAAGTCTCTGGGCCATCTTCAAAAGCTTTGTCTGTTTGTGTGTATGACTGGTGGTGATGATGATACTATAGGTTTTTTTGCATGTATTTATTTGTAAAATCTTCATACTATTTTTTGATTCAGAAGGATCCACAGTACAGTTTATATTGGCCCAAATCCTCTTCCATAGTTATACTGGCATAACACAAACAGTGTGACTTTTGAAGGCAAATTGCCCTAAATTAAAAAACAATGTAGACATTACATGTTGCTAAACTGATACAATAATGTCTACAGTAATTTCTTAACTTAAGATCAGTTTCCTCCAAAAATTGCACCTTTTGCATAGCTATGCAAAAAATTTTGGCAATGAGGCAATGAAATGCCCTGGGACTGCTTCCATTCCCTCTAAGCTGTAGCATTGATCTAAGCTGGCCACATCCCAAGGTCCTCGTTAGGCTGTTTTCTTTATTTACTAGTTTGCATTTATTTACATACTTTCTGTTTGAATGCTTTCAGCAGAACTGCAGGGTCTTTCTAATCATTCAGAGAAAAGTGTTTTGGAATTTTGTGTCTTTCATCTCCACTGATTTCCCCTAACAAGTTCTGAAATTGTTTCCTGGTCTGTTGCTTTTTGTCTTCACCTCCTCTTACATTCCATGATTCAAGACACCAATGTTGTGCACTGTTTGGCATTTAAATTTATGTTATGTTTCTGGTTGTCCTATCAGAAACCTTCATTCTTAATAAACAAAAGCCACACACAGAAAGGACTTCTGCCTTGTATGAAGTAGATGTTATTGCACTAATTTAAACTGATTCACTGTGCTGAGCAGCAGTTTATCAAAACAAAATCTCATTAAAATCTGTCTGCACTTTGCATCCCTCCCCAATCTCCTTTGTATACTAAGATAGTGGGGCTTTCTATGACCGGACAGTAACCTGTGGTAACCTGCGGTGTGTATGCACATCCGCAGGCCATGAATGAAACCGTTGTTAATGTTCTTAAATGTTGGCACTGCTGTGTTAATAACTTTTGAAAGTTTCTGCTTTATCAGCAACAATGACTGGCAAATAATCAGCTGTTGTTGTTTTTGTGTGTGTTTGGAACGCCAGAATAGCTGCTTTCTGCAGAAGGGGGTAATTCTCATTCTAAGATACATGGCTGCGCTTATTCTGATAAGGGCAGAGTTGTTGGGTGTTTCTAATTGTATTTTAGTATTTAGTCCAGTTTCCCACACATGCCCCAAAGCCAGTGAAGCAAAAGCATTAATGACTGGGCCCTTAAATATATAGTGACTTCAGCGTATAAGGGTACAAGAGCAAGTCAGATGCTACTGTGTGGTCTACCCTGCGGTTTTAGAGTAATAATTGTAGAACAATTCACAGTTGTCTGTGCATCTGCTTTAATGGGATCATTGAAGATTCTGTAAAGAACATAAAGAAGCAACATCTCTGTGTGTCATAAACATTTTATGGTTAATGACTGTATTTGCATGCTGTGTTTGTTTTGAGAATGTCTCATTCCAGCTTTCCAGCACACCGTCAAAAAAAAATTTAAGAGCTGTTAAGGTGCTGTATGGATTTTGATGCAAAAGTTGTATTCATTTATCCCAACTTGAGGTTTGACAAGTTTTTGGATTTTTGTCAGTGTTGCACATTTTCTTTAAAAATTCAGAGAGAGAGTTTTTTCTCCAGCTAAAAGAATCGTAAAGTAAAATGTACACCCTGATTGTCTGCCCCTCAGTTAATATATGCTTGTGTGAGGGAATACACGTTTAATTCTGTATACAGTATAGTCACTGGAATGGATCAGAGCTAGAGAGGAAATCTAAGGCAAAGTCTCTCTCACCCTATTTCTGGAGGCTGTCTTAGTTGCTGAGGTTGACTACCATCATGGCATATCTCCACACGTCTCTCTGCCTGTGTGGATTGTTAAGGCCCAGCCAATCTCCTCCTGCTGGCAATGTCATCAAGTGGCAACAATCATTCATAATTAAAGAGTTCCTTCTCTTGTCTCATAGTTTCCTTATGGTGAAGGGGATTAAACGGGAGCCAGAAAAGTAGGAAATCTTTAATTACCAAAAATCTCCCTCCTACTGGTGTCATCATTACCCTTCCATAAGCAAAAATTAAGCACCAGGTTTTCAGCCATCATGGCTGGAGTAGTGTTAAGTATTAAGATATGCAAGGCCTTTTTGATCTGTGGTGCCTTAATTCATGTAATTGTTACCTCATCATTGCAGCCAACAGATATTTCATATGAATATGTAAGCCATCTTTTTGTGGAATTGTCCACAAAAGCTCACATTCAAAAATATAAATCTTTAAATATCACCACGTTTGTCTTTTTTCCCCCCCTTTTATTTTATTTTTAATCAACTTTTTTGTGTGATCGATATTTTCTGGACCCATATATTTATATATAAATATACTCACATGTATTTGTATAGTTTGTCAGCATGACAAAGATTACTGAAGCCAAATAGACATTCAAGTTCATTGCTAGAAACTGTGAATGGATACAAGTTCTCTCTGTGTGTTTGCTTTCTGGGAAGACTGCAATGAGAGGAAGATTTTATGTGGCTAATATACATTGTGTGTATTTCTTAGTAATGTTTTCACAAACATTATCTGGCTTTAAAGGTTAATTTATTTATTTATTTATTTTTATTTAATGTCAACCTGGAACATTAGATTTTTAAAAGAATGACATATACACACAAACTAGTTCTCATGAAGATGACATTTTGAAATGACTGAAGGGGAAGGGTGAGAAGTTCATCAACATAGTGTTGTAATGCATGATAAAATTATGATTCAATCTTCACTGTTTTCTAGGCTTTCAAAACCAAGGATGGCTATATCGTGGTGGGAGCAGGAAATGATCAACAGTTTGCCACTGTTTGCAAGGTAATGGTACTACAAAACAGTTAATTGGGTGGAAAGATCAAGATGTTGCAGGATTCTATATTAGACAGTTCACGGCGGTGATGGCCAATTTTCTTGATTCTTAGAGAATGCAAGGTAAGGCACTACTTGCAGCTATAAAACATCCAGAGGCCTAAATGCAGTTGTTACTCCCAGCTAGAGCTACCATATCAGGCCAAAACCAACATGTAAATAAAAAAATAAAGAAGACAAAAAAGAAGACCTTAAACACTGGCTGTTATATTTTAATGTGAGCTTTTGTGGCCAGGTCCACTTCCTCAGACATAAGAGTGGACACTCAGTTGCTGAGGTTGTCTACCATCATTTCATATCTCCATTTGTCTATGTGGGTTAGTTGTTCATTATTAAGGTCCTCTCTTATGTCTGAGGAAGTGGACTTGTCCACAAAAACTCATATCAAAATATAGTACAGTGGTACCTCGACTTACGAACTTAATCCATTTTGGAACGACGTTTGTGCATCGGAAAGTTCATAAGTCGAAGTACCATTTCCCATTGAAATGCATGGGAACAGAATTAATCTGTTCCAGCAGTTCAAAAGGCAAAAAGGCAGGGGGAAAGGGCGGGAAATTCAAATTTCCTGCCCTTCCTCCCTGCCTTTTTGCATTCAGAGCTCTCAAAGGGCTTGCTTCGATGTCCGGGGGAAAGCCCTTTGAGAGCTCTGAAGCCAAAAAGGCAGGGAAAAGGGCGAGAAATTCAAATTTCCAGCCCTTTCTCCCTGCCTTTTTGCAGGGGTCCATTTATGAACGGCTCCGTTCGCAAAAAATGGCATTGACTTGCGAACGGAGCCTCAACCTTGTTTCTAAGTCGAGCTCCGTTCACAAGTCGATGCCAATTTTTGCCAACTGAGCCATTTGTAACTCGAAAAGTTCTTATGTGGGGCAGTTTGTAAGTCGAGGATTGACTGTAGTTAGTCCTGAAGGTACCACAACTGCTATTTCACAGTAGACTTATTGGCATGACCAGGGAGCTGGTGGAGATCAAGAGTTAGTTCTGCCTGTATACCTGATGCCTGCAAGGGAAGGATGAAGTAGAACTCTCCAAAGAGGGCAGAAGCCAGAAACATATTTGAGAAGAGGTGCCCTTTGATAGGAAGCTTTCAAGGAAAGACATGGGCAGCTCTTTTCACTTTGTTCCTCATTGATTTTGAACAATGAATAACTGACAAGGAGTGGACAAACTTTAAAGACAAGATATATACATGTCTATCTCTTCATGGAGATGATAGGTTACTTTGATGGGCCTGTCCTAGGGTAGGAGATAAATGATGATGGTTTGTATGCCACTGAGTCCTACATACTTAATTCAAAATCACACAGTTTTATGGTTATGGTGTTAACTGAGTAAAATTTGTTTCATTTTATTTAGATCCTGAATTTGTCCAAAATCAGCCATGATCCCAGATATAAAAACAACCAGCAGCGAGTGTTAAATAGGAAGGAACTCATTGGAATTTTATCAGCCAGGTATGAGTTCAGTGTTTAAATTGAGAGTATTTAGTTCTGCAAAGACTTCTGCAGACTTAACTATTTTTGACATATGTAGAATATGCTTCTCTGTGTGTGCAAATGTACTTTTCTACCTACAGATTGTGTAGACTTTTAATGTGGACTAATATGAAGTATATATGGTAACATCATATTTCCTAATAAAGCCATAAGCTTTCAAATATTTCTCCAAAAGGGATGTTCCTGAAGAAATCTTTTTGGGGGCAAAATTGCTTGGTTTTTGTACCTAGGGAAGGATGATCCAGGTTTCTGATTTGTGTCAAGTTGGGTTTTTTTTACATCCTTTATCCAAAACTTTGTTCAGTTCCTGAATTAATACTTAATCTATGTGAGCCACCCCTGCTTTTCCCTTCATGATGAGAGGATGAGTCTTTGCAAAAGAAGGGGAAGGGGAGAAAGGGAAGGGGAGAAAACAACTTGCACCAAAAGTCTTTTACAAAATCGGGTCTGGCTGGATCCTGAAGAGAAATAGGTTTTGGAAGCCTCAGGCCAACTGGCAGTGGATACATAGTCCTTTGTAGACCCAAGAACTTTTGGGATGGTAACTGAAAAGTCCTTAGCAGGAATGGGCCCCTCCGGGCGATACACAACGCAGTTCTTGTCAGCCCCAGGCTCTGCTGAGCTTTGTGGACACAGGCCCTTCTGGGCAGGCAACTGACAAGTCCCAAACAAGGTCAATCTCCTGCAATGAGACACAAACCCTATTCCAATGGATTAGCACAGTTTTATGGGCTCCAGGGAGTTACTTCACTCCCCAAAGTTCATAAGTACAACTTGTTTGGGAGGTCTCTTGAGGAAAGCTGCCAGAGGCTTTCCCGGCAGGAGACATGCCTGCAATGTCTGACAGAGCAAACATTTGTGCACACCCTCTCTTTGGCATGACCAGAGTTCAGGCAGAAAGTGCTGCGTAAGATGGCTGGTGTGGAGGCAGATATCAGTTTGAGCTGGTAGAGAACCAAGGGCTCAAATTGGGAGGGAAGGGGATCAGCTGCTTGTCCATATTGTCTCCAGAAGCACTTAGTGTCTCTTGAGCTTTCCAGATGCCTTGGTTCTTGGAGCCTTGCCCCCATCTTACCCTGACAGCTTCTTCAGAGGATGCTGTCAGCTTCTCTCTGGGTGGATCAGCATGGACTTGTTTTCCCTCAAACACCAGCCAGTCCTCTGCATCTTCACACTGATCCTCCCAAGTCTTCCAGTCTGCCTTATATTTCTAGCTCAGCCATCCCCAGAGCTGCACCTGTGAAGGTGACAGCAGCATTCTCCCCACCTGGACCCAGGATGCAGGTATAGTGCAGGGAGAAAGTGCACCTCCTGCACCCAGCTAGGTAGTCAGCCCACTATGCTTGCTGGCCAGGGCAGACTCGCTATTTATTTAAAATTTCAATATATATTACAAGTCTTAAAAACTCAGTTTGATATTTGTTTTCTCACAAAATACAATTTTAAATGTGTATTTTGATGTCATTTGCCACCTACAACTGTCTTTATTCAGAGGAGTTCAAAATCCACTGGCATCTCTGTTCTGTAGATTAGACTGAGGGGTAGGTAGTTTCATAGCATTTGAGGATGTTACTGCTGAGGGAGACTGGCTACTTAGATGTCTCCCCTTTTGTATGTCAGCAAGATGATTTTTAAAAAACAAACAAAACAATTCTTCAGTGAGGCAACTTGAAACCATCTAGATTAGAATGTCCTGGATTTTCCCTGTAGACATTTTCTATATCATATCCAAAACATGGTTCCAAAATATATAAGTGGCCTTCAATGTAAGAATTAATTTTTTTAAAAGAAAATTGTATCTTATTAGAACTGGAATTGAAACAAACAAACCGCTCATAGGTTTTTGGTGGTCCTTGGGTTATCTTCTCTGCTGAAGAGCATTTCATCTTCTCCGTATGTGTGGCCCTTTCAATTTTATTTTGTCTATTGTTCTATGGGAGGTCGCCAGTTCACTTCTTTTCTAAAGTCCCAACTAAGGATTCACTGGAAAAATAATCTTTTTAAAATAGATTTTATACCTATAACTGCCTGTCTCAGGTTTGCTGTCTCAGGCTTGTCAGCTTCTTGGCTAAATATGCCATGTTATTTTTGCAGAGGTTCCATGCAATCTCTAGAGAACTGCAAATGCTGCCGGTGCAAACCGATTTTGTATTTCATGTATTAATGGAAGAGCATAATTTATTAAGTGTCATGTTTGTTTGGTTGAATCTGGCACCCAATAAAGAAAGACCAACTGCAACATGAATCTTTGTTCAGGATCTTGGAGTCATATGTATTTGTTCCCATTCCTTGTAATTTGGCCTTGTATTAGCTAATAGACATCATTTGCAGAATGATCACATTTTGTATGGTAGATTTTGAAAGACTAGCAAGATATTTATCCCTTGGAGCCTTTGCAATAGAATCATTGTGGAGAACAAATAATCTGTCATGAGAAAAAAGTGGCGGAGTTGCTTAATGTTAAACATGCTTTACAGGGTATGCGTCTGACATGGGTTGCTTCAGAAAGTATTTTAAATTAGCAGAACTGGCTGGTACTTTTTCCATTATTTGAAAAGCCAAGCTTAATAAGGGTATGATTGCTGTAACAGGGTTTGCCACCAAGTAACCTTTATCTAGAGTTATGTCAGCAGTCGTGCTGATCTCAGGAAACTTTCATTGATTGAAGAAATAATTGTCTGCTTTATGACTGATCAGTAACTTTAAATCTTACTAGATAATGGAATTTGACATCATACATATACTGTATAATGGAGCCACTAACCGCATCCAGTGTCTTATGTCTGATGAAGTGGACTTGTCCATGAAAGCTCACATTAAAAATAATAAAAGTTAGTCTTCAAAGTGCCATCACATTTTTTATTTTTATTCTTTATTTTGTTTTCACATATAATGCTTTCAGAGACTAACATGGCTACCTCTTCTACAACTACTAACTGAATCCAGTGTCTCTGGATATGATCAAAGGGAGACTACCCAATGGTGCCTTGAATTCAATAATGGAGGGAAAGCATTATATAAACATACAAACTAAATGAACAAATAAACTCTTGTTCAGTAAATACCGTAACCAAACAGAAACTTTGACAAGCCCATTTGCAATATGCCTATATAACATTCTCTGGTGCATTGTTCTCAAATGTGCAAATATATTTCACACTTTTTAATGATTGTGCATATAAATACTATTCTAGAGTTCTTTAGTGATTTGCCCTACACTTTTAAAATGTGAGTATATGAATCATTCATGAATAAAGCTTTAAAAGTTTAAAGGCAGAGTCGAAAGAAAAAAATATTTTGACATTTCAGCATCTGGTTACAGTAGGATGTTGGTTTGACATATTTATACCACAAAGGACCACTTTTTGTTGTTGGTATTCAAAGATCACCACTTCTGGAAACAACTGAAATGTTGCTGCACAAGACAAGTATAGACAAGATATCCAGCTGCCTAGGGCCCCCAGCAGCCCCACACTCACAAATTAAGAACAGTGGGAGGGAAATCCCAGAGGACTCTTGTCTGTCTTCTAGGGTAAATGGAGGCAGTTTTGCAATGCATTGTATACATATACAAACTAATTGAAGCCTCCAAGGTCTGATTTTTTTTTTAAAAAAATAGCCACTGGAGACCTAGAGCAAAGTGTTTCTGGGTGTGGTCAATGGGAGACCACCAAACTGTTTCTTGCGTTCAACCATAAATATTAATGCAACACACACACATGTTTCCCGAGGGATTAATTTTCTTTATATCCTGGGGAAAGGGACCCGGAGAGGAGAGAGACCCCAGCCAGACTACTGACAAGGAGACAGTACACCAAATTCTTAGATCAAACTCTATTCATGTAACATTTATTGCTTTCATTCATTTAAAACATAAAACAAAGGTATCAAGAGGCCACACTTCACACCTCACATGCACACATACTCACACACACAGAGCTCTTCTCTGATGGTTGATCGGTTCTTCGGTAAGAACGATGGGAGCAATGTTGCAGCACTGTTCGAAGCCCACAATCTCTTCCTGGGTCATCCTTCTTGTAGGCATCTTCCTTGTGGGCTGTGCCTGTGGGCTGAATCTGGGTGGGCATAAGCAAGCAGGAGGCAGACCCTGATTTCCTGGGCAAGTACAGTCTGTTGTTGCCATGCAGGAATGCTTCTTGCACGTGTACAGTTTGCTTCCTTTACCCCAGTCCTGGTTCCATCCAGACTGCTTCCTCTTTCTTGTCTGGACAACAGGTTCCAGCCAGCCTTCTTCCCCTTTCTTATCTGGACAAACAAGTCCACAGTTAGAACTTCCGCCCACACATGCAGTTTTCTTCGGATATAGAAACTTTATCTCTTGTAACTCTTTGCAGCTTTGTAGCAGGCTCACGATCCCATCTTCCCTCACAAGTCTCCATCTTCTTTTTAGGCCTGGGGTGCTGGTCTTTCTGGAACCCACACACTCTGTTACTCATGACACACATCCATTCAGTAAATAATCTAATAGAAATGTGTCCTGGTATGACTGCTGCTTCTCCTCTTGAACTGGCCATGGAGTATCAATGCTTAAGCTCAGGTCGTTCACCAATAGGTACATTGGGAGACATGATGGTGGGGCCAGCTTGGGCAATTCTGTCAGCCCTGTCACAATGTTCAGTGTCGGTTGTTGCCCCCTTGTGCAAATAGGACATGGTAGGGTTTCATCCAGATGAAAGCCACAGCAAAATCAACAAATAAGATAATGAAAGGACATTTGTATCTCCCAATGCCCTTTTCAAACAGTCTTGAACTTTGCATTTGGTCAGAAAATGATCCATTTCTCTCCCCTCCCTGGCACACAACCCCATTTCTGCAGCTGTGCCTTTTAGGAAGTATGCAGTTGAGTGTCATGGATACCACTTATTAAGAAAGTAAAGCTTGCAGCCTCTCAGTTGCAGAGAAATAACAGAGTGTGCTGGAGCCTCTTTTATCCTCATAGCAAGATGACCTTATTCAGCAAGGTCCTCTGACCTTGTATAGCATATTCAGGGAACTGGTAAGACTGTTAAGGGCAAGAGGCAGCAGGAAAGTCTGCTTCCACTTCCCCCTGTTTTGCATACCAAATAAGGAACACACTGAGAGACTCAAGGGTACCCTGTCCTCATTGGTGGTAGAAAGGGTCTTGAGAAGCAGGGTGGACATAATTGCCTAGCTGCCACCACCATTACAATTGTATTACTAAAAAAAAGTTCATTGAGATTAGCAGACCACGTAGGATTCCACTACAGGTAAGGCAGAACATGAATTCAAAATGCAGTGTGTGAAAAATGACCCTTCCTTGTTGTACAGCACATCAGAAGGGTCATAAGGATATAAATTTAATCCAATATTAACTATATCCTGCCTTTACACTGGGTTGCTTGGGGAAATACACAGTATTAGTGCAAATGGATTACAAATAATATGGACTAGCACCTGATGGAGACAACGGTTATAAGAACCCAGTACAGCATATACTGTATGTAGGCCAGATTCTTCTCCTGTTGAAGGCAACCTGCGGCCAAGGAGAGGTGGCCTCTTCTGTCCCCACAACACAGATGTGAGATACCTTTTAAAAACCTCAAACCAATCATAGATTGAGGTGGAGGATTCTGTCCTCTCTGATGATGCAGTTTTAAAATAATATCACCAACACTTGGCACATAAACTTATTTATTTTTCATTATTTTTAGGAATTTATTCATAGTTGCTTGCACATTCCTTTTTAAGATGCAGACACATTTTGTTATACAGTTACTCCTGTCTGTTAAAATAGATAAAGGCAGTTAAAGTTGGAAGCCTGAAAATGCTGATTGTACAGAACTTTGGCTAGAATCTTACAGCATCTTCAGCCTTGTATGTGTCTTCTGGTCTGTTTTGCTTCATGACAGTGAACACACTCATACCCACACAAGCACCTGTGCACGGAGAAATGTCATAGAATTTAGCAATCTTCTTGTTGACTCTTTGATGTAGAAAACATTGTTAATCTTCTCAAGATGGGATAGAAGAAAAAATATTAAGTTTCTTCTCTGCAGTAGAGTAAGTACTCATGGGTAGTCAGTCCCCAAATTAACCTACAATAAAGGAATTTTAAAAATATCTAAATTTTATTAATTAATTTACATTCCAGATAGAAAAGCCTAAACTGTAATCCTAAATAGTCAGACATGTGCTCTCTAGGGCACAAGGATGGGGAGTAAAAGTATGTCAACTCTTTAAAGAAGGAGGAACAGGGGTAGGTGGACCCTAAGATATCAGTCTAACAATTGGTGCAGGTGGAAGTAAAGACCAGAGAGTCAAAAAGGGGATGGACTAGTGTTTCTGGCATCTACTGCCTTTCTGGTCATTTGGGTTGGAAAGGTGTTAGGAGGCTGTGATTTGAGGACAACAGACTATAATCCTAAACTTTGTCCATTGACTCAACCCGTCCCAGAAATGCAGCATAAACACTTGTTTTATAATGTAGTGTTGTTTATATCTGTTCAAAATTAAATGTCATCTTATTGAGTTCCAGGACATTTGTATGCCTAGCTGAATGTGAAGACGATTGCAGCCAGAATATTGCTTGTTATTTGTGTTTGCTCAAACTGTGTATCACTATTCACTTCTATTGGGGGACTCCACCTGGAAAAGAGGATCTGACATTGCACTAACAAAAACAAACAAACAGGAAATGTGTATCTAATAGATGTGAATGTGAGAACAAAGTCTGTAAATGGCCCCAAGGAGACAACCAAGTAAACCAAGGAATTTTGGTTTGCACAGGATAAGGATAGTATATCATATGCAAAACCGGATGACCTTGGGACAGATATTACAATCACACAACACATAAACATGTAATCAATGTTGTTATCTGACCAACCATTGTGGTTGTTAATTGGGACATGTGTTTCAGATGTAACAGACAAGAAAACTTTGTAATTGGATCTTTGTGCTTAAAAATAGAATGTTTATTTCATGTATGAGAGTCCTAACCACATCACATCTATCTTTTTTTGCTGTGAAAAAGAAAGACATGAAATAAAAAATATGAAGTTCATTATTGTAATTAACAATGAGAGGAAGTGTGCTGGCTTATAGTTGAAACTACTGATAATTTTGGTTTGCATTACTGCTGGATTGCGTCAGAAAATCAGATAGAATTGTAAGTCAGTCTAACCATGATTTTTGCCCCAAGGCTTGGTTTCTGCATTTCCGAGGAACATGTGCAGAACATTTTTACTGCATTATTTACTGCTGGGATAGAAGCACCCATTTTTATATGGCTGACTGGCTGAAATGGATAACTCAACTGTATGCTTCTTCATTTATTCCTAGGTTTTTGGAAGAAGAGACTACCAAATGGCTGGAACTTTTCGAAGGTAGTGGTGTTCCATATGGTCCAATTAATAGCATGAAACAAGTGTTCACAGATCCTCAGGTCAGTCTTCTTACGGACACTGAATATTGAAAGTTCATCTTAAGACTTAGTGTGGTGTAGTGGTGGGAGCGTTGATCTAGGAATGGAGAGACATGGATTAAAATCCCTGCCCCTTCATGAAAACCACTGGGTAACTTTGGGCCTACCTCACCACAGGGCTGTTGTAGTGATGAAGTTTGAAAACTTCTTCATCATGACAGCCATGATCTCAAATGGTTGCTTCTTCCAACTTTTGCTGATGTTGGTGTCACACAATAGAACGAATTTGCTCAGCGACATCTGTGCATTTTTTGTGAAAATCTGCTTGACAATATTTCTGCTAAATCAGCAAGCCTTTGAGCAAAACCAGGTTTTTACACAGCTTGGAAAATTCTATTTGTTATGGGCTGTCATCTCACTTCCATATGAATGAATTAGCTCAGAAAGCTCCTATAAGTAACAGCAGTGTTGAGGCCTTGCAGGCTAAAGACCATGACCTCTTTTGGTGAGTCAGGCTGCAACTACTGGAGCAATTCAGCTTTGCTATAGCTTGATTCACAGGCTATTTTACACTTCTGTTCAGAATAGGTGGACCCATGGAGACCATGAATTATTTTGATGTAAGTGTCCACATTGGCTCCTCATCCAGTTAGATCTATGTCACAGTCCAAGCCCCCCCTCCCCTTGATCCCCCCCCTTTGCTGATCCCCAGTTCTACTTTTATGGTTCATAGTAAAGCCAGTGGGCTGTTTAAAATGTTGCATGACGTTAGGGAAAGGGACAGTTTTCCAGATGTGTCTATAACATACAAATACATACACACATACTGTAGAAACATAGCTGTCTGCTGTGGTTCATCGAAATTGTTTCTATTTCATATAGATTTTTATGTTTTATTTTTGTTAGTTTGTGCAGAGGTGATCTAGTGCTAATCTGATATATCAGTCCAATGATAAGGTGATCTGTTACTAAATTTGGTAGCTTGTTTTTTAAAAGTAAAATACCTCAGGGTGACTAGGGAAGAAGATTGCAGGATGGATGCTCAACCTGTCCAAAACATCACACCCAGCTTAATATGTCACCAGAGTAACACCCACAGTCATCATGCCTTCCTCCTGCCCATTTGGAGAACTGAACGGATCACACAGGGAAAACACTGCTAGAATCACTCTGGCTTTAAAAAAAGTAGGAGACCCCAGCAGTCACGTGTGGGAGAGACTTCAAAGCAAAAAAGAACGGTGGTGATTCGCACTAGCCTTTGCATCATTCAAAAGTTTTAAAAGTTCGTATTCATCCATCCAACTTTCACAGCAGAGTCTATGGTATTTGCCAGTGTAGTCACAGTCTCAGTTCTCTTCCCACAACGTCCTTCTCTTTTCCTATTACTTGCATCTTTTCCTAATACTTTTATCTTTTCCATTGAGCCTTGTCTACTCATTATACACCTGAAATGCAACATACTCAGTTAAGTCATTTCAGCTCTAGTGAGAGTTCTGACTTGATTTGATTTAGAGTCCATGTATTCATCTTTACGGCAGTAGATGCAAATGTATGTGGTTGGAGATTTGGTTGTGATACTGTTTCGCACTTGGGAGCTTATAAAAGGTTTTTTTTTGGGGGGGGGACCCATCTTGGAATCACAGTTCAGAGCAAGCTTGTAACTGGCAAGAACCAAGGTCAGTTGGCTTTTTAAAGATTATAGTATTGATAAAGTTTGGAAACAGCAGTACAATCTGAGATAGCCGTTGTTTGCAATATATTGATATATACACTGCTTTTATTTATTATTTTTACAAATTGTATAGTAGTTGGTCATTTAGTATAATAATTGGCAATTATATATTATGTGACAGTTAACCAGGCAAGGCTTCCCTCTGTAGCCACTCAGCCACACTGCACTTCTTGTTCTGAGTGGGTGAGCCCAGAGAAAGAGAGGAGACTTTGGAATCAGGCTGGAACCAGATCACTCCCCTACCCTACTGTCCACTCAGACTTGGCAGTGCTTCCAGAGAGTTCAAAACAGAATCCAAAAGGCAACACTCTCAGAAGCAAGGTGCCTCCTTTGAAAGGAAAGAGCTGCCACCACACCTACACAAAAACCAAAATCCAGGTAGTCTGGTCAAGGCAAGACCTGGTTTAGTACTACAAGCCTTCAATGCCAAAATCTAGATAGCAGTTTAGAAGGATTTTAATATTTTGTTTTAAAAAGGGGGGGAGTTAAAAGGAGAAAAGCCAAATGTTCCAAAAAGTTACAAAAACTCCCTTCAAAATACTGGAACAAAATACAGAGATAGTCTCAAGCACTTCAGGAGAAACACACCAGAAAACAATAAAACCTAAGCTACCCTACCTAATACAGTGGTGCCCCGCTTAACGATTACCTCGTTAAACGTCGAATCCGCTTGACGATGAAGTTTTTGCGATCGCTTTTGCGATCGCAAAACGACGTTTTAATGGGCAAAAGTCGCTTCCCAATGATCGGTTCCCTGCTTTGGGAACCGATTCTTCGCATTACGACGATCAAAACAGCTGATCGTTGGGTTTCAAAATGGCCCCCCTGCTGTGTAAAACGGCCCCCCGCTGTGCTTTAGGATGGATTTTTCACTGCACAGGCATCGGAAAATAGCCGCCCTATGGAGGATCTTCACTGGACGCTGAGGTATTTCGCCCATTGGAACGCATTGAACCGGTTTTCAATGCATTTCAATGGGCTTTTTTATTTCGCTTGACGAGGATTTCGCTCTACAGCGATTTCGCTGGAAAGGATTATCCTCGTCAAGCGAGGCACCACTGTACTCAAACCGTAGTCTAGATCTGAGACATGCACAAAGTGCATCCTTTGCAGCACGGTTGTAGGAGAGCAGATAGACATAATCTCCTGAGTAAGACTGAGCCAACCAAGTTTTCTAATGCCTTTTATACATTTAATGAGCTATTCCAAACCTGTCCTGCTCAACATATTAATCTTCTTTCATGTTTATTCCAACAAAAAAGCATCTTCCTGCCCTCTTCCTTTCCCACATCTTTAATTTGCATGACTCTGGGAAAGAGGGCAGACAAGTTTTTGATGTCCCACCAGATATGATATGAGTTGGAGGCATTTGTTCCCTCTCAGTCCTTCTTTGAAGTCCTTTTGAACAGAAGCTCAACTGAGAGTGTTAATTGTCCTTTTGTCTCATCACACACTGGTTCACACTTTTCCAGCCAGCTCTCCCAATCAATGAAAGAGAAGCCCCCAAATTTTTAGTAGATAGATTCATTGTTCCATGCTTCTCAGTTTCTTCACATGTTTGAATTGTGGCTTATTAGTTGATTTGCTCCTACTTTTGTGAAACCCTCTCCTTTGATTCATTCATAAAACTCCTGGACTACCATATTTTGAGTCAATTTTTAAAAACTAGTTGTTAAATAGAATGATTAGAATAACACACTGAAGCTATCCATAATTGAGCAATTGTAGAATGATGCCCTTGGGACCCAGAGCACAATCCTGTCACTGCCCAGTTATGGATGACCTCAGCATGTCAGGATAGTCATTCTTCAAAGTAATTTTCCAAGCTCTGCTTCTGTGCTAAATGAAGACAGGCTTATATAAATGTCCTAGCTTGATTGACTGTGTGTATACCATGTGCATTGTTAGAAGGCCAGAAAAGACATGTGTAATAGTACATCAGAATGAAAGTGTCAGTAGGTGATGTGCTGAAATTCACACGGTGAGGCATTGCAGTACCTGTGGTCAGTGAGAGAGCCAGCTTTCTTACTTTATTTACTTTTACACAATTTAAGCCTTAGGTTTTGAACAGGAAGTTGATTTTACTAAGTTAGTAGCCTGTGCAGATGGTGGTAATGAAAGAGGGATAATGCATGTTCTTCAAGTGATGGAAAATGCTAACACTTGTAGCACTGTGAAAGGCAATGTTTAAAGGCTGTGCTTGTTGGAAGGAGGGCTGGAATTTAGAAGTTTTAGTTAAAAAAGACATAGAAACTTTAAAGCATTTGCATGGTCTCCCTATTGTTGTGACCCACACCAACTTCTAGTCTTTATGTTAAGTTTTAGTTAATAGATTAAGGGCTTTTACTGCCTCTTTTCTTCTTCCTTCTTCACCCCAGAAAGACCTTGTTGCTGAGGTTCTCCATTCCAAAAACTGTGGCCAGCAAATGATACTTCATCTTTTAAATGTCACATTACTCACAGAGACAGGGAAACATATGTCCACCAGATCATCTAAATAAACTGGCAACTATTCTACAGATCATTATTTGAAATAAAATTGTCTCCTTAAAGTCAGATGCTTTATTTGCTATATTTGTAAGTGTTTTTTTTTTCAGAAAGCAAAGCAAAAGCAAATTGTGCTGCTTATATGCTGCCCCATAGAGATTACAATGGAGGCAAACATGATTTCTTTAAGTGTATATTAAAATGTATAGGCTACTGTTAAACATGGTGCCATCTGAAATTGACACCAAATGACAAAAATGCAACAAAAAAGCTAAATTTTAAAAATTGTCAGTTACCATGGCTGACACATTAAGCAGCATCAAATGATCAGTCCCCCAGCTAAAGAAATATGTGAAAGACATTATTGAATACTGAATGGTCATTATTTATTTTATTTTATTTTGTTTGTTTGTTCCATTTTTACCCCACCCATCTAGATTTGGGAATCTACTCTGGGCAGCTTACAGAATACAGTGGTGTCTTGCATAGCGATCGCTCCGTTGAGCGACAAAATTGCTTAGTGACTAACTTTTTGCGATCGCAAAAGCGATCACTTTGCGAT